GTCGAGCAATAGTATTTAGGAGATTGTAGTTGTATGTAGTGTTTAAGAGACTATACTTGGGTGATAATGTTCATGAAATCATAGTTAGATGATAATAGTCAAAAGTAAGCGTGTAAATGAGTCAAGTCGAGTCATGCTGAAGTCACACTTAACATGAGCTCAGCTCATCCAATTATGAGTAGGCTCAAACTCAAGCATCAGCTCAAGGTGAGCTTATGTATTAAGCTTAAGCTCAACCCATCAAATACCTAAAAAACTCAAGCTTGACTCCATAGCTTGATGGAGAAAGATCTAGGGGCTCATCAAAAAGGTATGGCAACGGCTGGGGAAGGCTCTGTAGCTCACTAGAGAATATATTATAGAGACAACTCGTTGGAGAAGGCTTAGGTAGCTCGCTAGAGAAGGTATTGTATGTAGCAGAGTTGAGAGTCGAGATAGGAGCTTGGTGAGAAGGTTGATAACATGCAATAGCTTTTATTACATTTTTATTTTAATGGATGATGTTACTATAACATTTTTCCAAGAAAAAAAATAATGTAGTAGTGCTTTAATGGGTGTAATAGTGTAGTGATAATAATTTATCTTCCCAAAAAAAATTGAATGGATTTTAACTTTGTTTTTTGAAAATTCTAAAAGATTTTGACCAAAAAAATTTTGAAGCACAAATGTTTTAACTTTATTTAATATAAAAAAAGAAAAGATAAGATCTGGCTCATGAGCTAACGAGTTGAATTCCTTCAAGCTTGAACACGAGCTCGTTTATCAAATGAACTATGGTTTGAGCTCAAACTCAAGCTCAAAAGATTGACTCATGAGGTCGTTAATGAGTCAAACTTGAGCTAACTTGGCACACTAACACCCCTAGTCAAAAAGACTATAGTCATGTGATGGGGGATTGGATAGTGGTGGTCTAATAAAGGTGGTCAAATGGCAATGGTTTAGAGGAGGTAGTTAAACAATGGTGTTTATATGGTGGGGGTCAAATGGTAGCAATTGAATGATGGTGGTTAGAGTGTAGTGGTTTAATCAAGGTGGTTTGATGATGGTGGTATGATAGTGGTGGTCTAATGATATTGGTTGGGAGATCAAAGTTAATTTAGCGGTGGTGATCAAAAGAATGGTGTTGGGTGAAGATAGTTAGAAAACTATAGTTAGGCGATGTTGGTCAAATGATCATTTTTAGGTAAGGGAAGTCAGAGGATTATAATGGGACAATAATGGTCAGATGATTGTAGTTCTATAAGAATGTTAGAGGATTTTATTCAATTAATGATGGTTAGAGGATAGTATCATGGTTAGGAGATCCTAGGCAGGCAATGATGGTTGAGAGATGATAGTAGGCCAAAGATGTTACAAAGACTATAATTATTAATCGTGATCAGGAGATTAAGTCATATGATAGGGTTGAGAGGATTATAATTGAGTGATGTTAGAAGGAGATCGTAGTTGGGCAATGTGAGTAAGATTTCAATGGTCCAACAAAGGTGGTTGAATGGCAATGGTTCGTTAATAAGGGTTGAATGATGGTGTTTAGGTAGAGATCCAGTAAACCTTTAAGCTTTCTTCTCCTCTCTAATCCAGCTCTTCTTCATGTAGAGAATAAGGGTTTATTTATAGTTTTCTAAGAGCAGAATTTTTGTTAATCTAATCAAAACCCTAAAATATTCCATTAGATGACATGTATTTATCCCCTCAATCATTAATCATATGTCTAAAACTAAATAAAAAGCCTAATTCTTCTGCCAAACAGTGATTAGAGAAGAGGTAGTGCATGACCATCTTTATCTAAAGTTAAAGGAGGTCTTCTCCAATTTGCCTCAACATGGGTTGTTGATAACATTTAGATCCAATGATGTCATAATTAATCAATCATAGGATCATTTGATTCATTTATTGAAGTGCTTAATTTATTTGTAAGCATGCAATATTTGGAGATCATCTGATCATCCAAATAAGAACTTGAAGTTTCCAATTATACTTCAAGTGCATGATTTAGGCTCATTTTGAGTTGGACTAGATCACTTTTTGTATCAATGAGTTCATCTCATCAGGACATTTAGTTGGATATATGTATGTAAAAATTGAATTTGGATAGTCCTAAATCTAATTCTAGAAGTTTCTAACTCAAAGATTGCATTGAGATTCATGCTTAATCAAGTAGATTTTCTTGTGATGTTTCAATTACCCCTTTATTTTTTAACATCGAAGCTCATATCATCCAAAAATAAAGGTTAAAAAAAAAGCTTATAATCTATTTGCTTTAGTCATGGATGTTCTCACTAGACATTTGCAAGATGATGTACCTTGGTGTATGCTTTTTGCTGATGATATTCTTCTTGTTGATAAGACTAGAGAGGAAGGCTTGATGTTGTTGTTGTTGTTGTATAGTTTTTAATGAAGTCAATGTATTTATTGGAGCTAAAAATTTGAAAAATACTTGCCCATAATTCTTTAAAATTATTGAAAGTTGGTTGTAGAGGTCATATTAGACTTAAAATAATACCAATTTGAGTCGAAATATTGATAAATGATATCGGGGTCTCCAAAAATATTTGATTAGGCATGTTTGGGTCCAAAACTCAGCCCATACGTATGTTGATGTTCCGGGATGCCATTCACCGATATTGTGTGTGACATTTGCTAACATGAGTTTGGGGTGCGTGCCCCTAGCAAGTGACAACACCTACAAATAGTGTTTTGTGCTTTTTATATTTTATGAACTATTTTGTGTGTGTGATTTGTGTGCAATTAGTGCATCTCTAGCATGTGGATATGATTTTTTTATTTAGTTTATTTCATTTTTTATGCTTTTAATGGTGCTTCAAATACTTGATTTGATCTCATTTTGAGTCAAATCATTTCACTTTCAAAGAATATGGGTTTGTCTCATTGAGATGTCAAATTCAACTATAAATTTTTCGGAAATCAAAGTTCAAATGCTCATAAATTTAATTCTTAAAATTTTTAACTAAAAAATTACATTGAGATTTGTGCTTGATAAAGTGAATTTTCTAGTGTATATACCATGCATCATTAAATCAATATTTTTTAAATTATTAGAGGTGGATAAATTTTTATAAATGAATTTTATTGTTAGTAAAAACTTATCAGCTTAGTTACCCTCAATATTTTTTCCTTCTTACCTTTTCATATGAAAAATTTCTCTCCTAGTTCTATAAATTCTCCATCTTAAAGAGTTAATTTCCTTAATTACCTCAAGCATTACTCTAATCACATTCTAAATATGGTGATCATTTATTAACCCTTAAGTCTTAACTCTTAAGCCATAACAATTAATAATCCATAGCAACATAACTCACTTTGATATGCTAGTTGGTTATTTTGCCTATCAATTAATTAGTCTTGAGTTCGAAGCTTGCGTATGTAATATGTATATGAATTTATCTTAATTGTCATAAATCCTAAACCTTGATTAACTATTTTGTTCAGACACCGGGCGGCGTCCAGAGATGAATAAGAGCACGCCATGTCATTTTTTTGTTGTGTACCGGTGTTGTGTACCACCGTGTACTGGATGACGATACGCGCTCTAGCTCATTTGTCTCAAGACGATTCGATGTATGCACATAATAATTTCTCCTGAACTCTAAACCCTAAACCTTAAACTAAAATGTACATTCTTCTTTAAGGAAAATGTTTCTTCCTTGCCCTTAAGAAACCGCTTCCAAGCTCTTAACTCCTGTAATAAACAATGCTTCTTTCTTAGCACCTGGAATTAATTGCTCTTCCTGATCACCATACACATTCATCGCACTAATCTTGATGAACTTCTTAACTAAGTTTACCGGTTGTAATGGAAATTTTTTTTTTGGTAAAAATATTTTGATCAAATTTTGATTTGGATGGATCTTAAAACAGTTAATAATATACGAGGATTCAATCAAATTTTATATTACATTTATTTAAAAATAAGTTTAATTATTATGAAATAATCTTCATCAAAAAATTAATTAGATTTTGTTTTTCTATTATGATAGCTCGATTGCTAATACTATTTTTTACCAAGAAAAAAATTATTCATTATTTTAATTTTTCAGCATGTAGCCGACCTCATATGGAGAGATTAAGGTTTTGTTTGAGACGGTTTTTTTCTTGCTTTCTAAAATAAGTTTCTATTACAAAAATTTCTTGAATTTAAAATTTTGTACTAGAATGCCGTTTTAGAAAACAGTACAACAGTTGTTCCAAATGAAGCCTAAAACTTGTTTTCGAATTATTTTTTAGCAAGATTTACCTACATATAACTCAAAAGGACAAAATTTAAAAGAAGATATAATATAAAATTAAATCATTAAAAAATTATATAAAATAAATAAAAACAGTCATAGCTGCCTGCTTAACGGCCGGCTAACTGTGCGGGTGTAAACGAGTCGAGTCAATGATATGCCTCATTGAGCTAAGCTTATTTTGTTTTTACTAAGCTCGAGCTCGTTTGAAAAGCTCAAGGTTGACTAGCTCGATGTCTTAGTTTTAAATTAAAATTTTAGTTAGTTTAGAGTTTTATTTTTTTAATAATATATTTTATTTAAAAATATTAAAATATATTATATAATGTTAAACTGAGCTGAGTGCGAACTCGTGGCTCAATAAATTCGACTTGCGAGTTCATTAACGAGTTGAGTTTGATCCTGCTTGCAAGCTGGCTCGGCTAACTTACGCCCCTAAGCAGCTAGTCACTTTTTTATTCATGTTTAAAAATCTTCTAATTTTAAATAATTCATTTTATTATTATCTAAATAAATTTTTTTTTTTATGGCTAAATTGTCACAGGCAGTAAATTAATCAGCTTAAATTCCACATGAAACTAATAACTCCTCCATTTAATCTCATTAATTTCATAACAGTTCGGTAAAATTAATTATCACATTTATATCACCCATGCAAAAATTATACTATAAATAACAAGCATGGATCCATTGTCTCCTACCTCTAACGCTTACTCTCTCTTTGAAGCCAAGAAAAATACAGAGAGGTCGAATATGCCGTTGAAGAAGAAGAAAGGATTTCAGAAATCCATCAAAATCTACTTCTCTATGCTGAAGAAGGTGCCAAGATCTCTCAGCCACCTTTCCTCCACCCCTTCTTCCTCCTCCGGCGGAATTTTATCCGCCTGTAAATACCCCAAAACTCCTTCTTTCGCTGTTAACCGCACCGCCGCCGACGCCGCCGCCACCCTTTCCGATGTCGACCGATTCCTACACGAGAACTTTCAATCCCTCTACCCACCGAGGCTGGCCACCTCCAGCTCGCTTGCAGAGGACGCCGGAGACGACTCCTCAGCGCCGGAGCCATCATCGCCGATCTCCAGCAGCGGGGAGGCCGCGGAGGTTCCCGGCGGAGGGGTGGCGGTTATGACATTTTCTAAAGACCCTTACGAGGATTTCCGTCGATCTATGGAGGAAATGATGGATGCTCGTCACAAGGATTCGTTGAAGCCGTTGGATTGGGATTTTATGGAGGAGCTTTTGTTGTGTTATTTGGAACTTAATGAACGGGGCGTACATAAACATATTCTGCGAGCATTTACGGACCTAACGGTCAGTTTTCGCCGGAGGGAAGAGGAGAAGCAGCTGAAGGTTCCGGCGACAAGGCGGAGGATTGTTAGGACGGAGGCTCTTGCGGTGGCAGGAAGGCTGTTTCCGGCGCCGAAGCACTAGACTGAGTTAATTTCTCTCGGATATGTGGCGAATAAATTTTTTTTTTTGAAGTTGAAGAAGATATATAATACTTAAAACCAGCTTATTTATAATCACTTTTTCCTAAAATAAAAAATAATAGAATCCTCGATCTCTTTGTTATGTTGCCAGCCCTAGCCTCTCCCAATGCACATTTCTTTAGTTTCATCAATAAGCATTTCCTAAAGAGATCTAGGATTTGTTTGCGACAGTTTTTTTAATGTTTTCTAAAAAAATATTTTAAAATATTAGAATTTTTTTAAAAAAATTATTTTAGAAATTAATGAGAAAGGTGTTCCAAACGAAGCCCTAACAAACAACTTCATGACACATCTTTTTGTCTTTCTCCATGTTCATAGGTTATCCGTCCCATCAATTCTTCTTTTTCGGAATTACGGCTTAGTCATTATTAAATCATTATGTGCGGAGTCTGAAAATATTCGGACTCCAATGAAATCAAATAACATGGCTTATAAATTGTATATAAGATGTATACAAGTTACACAAAGTGGAGCCCGGACATGGAAAAAATTATTAGGTGCGAAGTGTGCAACATCCACACAAGCACACCAAGCGGTACCCAGTACTACTGAGTGCGGGTGCCGTTAGGTACCCAATGCTTGTGCGGACGGTTCTCCCCATCCGTACTCTGCACCTAATAATCTCTCCCGAACATGAGCTAGGTACTCTGCACCTAATCATTTCTCTTTAGTCATATCTTTTTACTTCTCAACATTCAAATGCCGTTGGTGCTCTCCAATTTTTCTTTATCGTCAAGGGTTTCGAGTAGGCAAAAAAGGGTGTCAATGGCAAAAGATAATAAAGTGGCCGTTTAGTAATTAAAAGCTTTTTAAGTGTTAGATATATAATTAGGTTAGTTTAAGTGTTGTATTTGCAAATCTCAAAATAATACTGCATGCAAAAGGGCTGGGAAGAAATTATAATAAGCTTTTATAATTTAATTTTTGTATCGTTATTATAGTTGTATTTTACTATAATTTTTAATACATTTTTGTGTTGATAAATAGATATTTACATTATGAGAATAAATAAAAAAAAATTATCATTCTTTTTTTAAAGGTTGAAACTATAAAATATAATTGTATTTTTTTTAAATTTTTTTCACATTAAGTCATTGATTTATTTATACTTAAATTTTATTTAGGACAGGTTTTATATTACTTTCTAAAAAAAAATTCAGTATAAATTTTTTTAATACAAAATTTTTATTAAAAACGGTTTTAGAAAACAAAAAACCCAAACAAAGTCTTAATTTTACGTATAATTAAGGCCGCACTAAGCGGATCTTAAGATCTTTGATCGATACGAAATCAATGCGATACGTTGCTTTAAGTTTATGGATTTCATTATTGAAGTGCTCAATTTTTTATTGAGATCCGAAGTACTGTATTAATTATATCTTACATCGAAGAAGCAGCTTTTACATATAAAAAATTATTTTATTAAAAAAAAAACTGATTTTATGGCTTTGATATTAATATTAGGATAATTTCAAATGTAATTAATATTCAATTTTTAATTATTTAAAAAATTTATATTCAGCTACCTTTTTGTGTAATAGTGTATTTCATATTTTAGATTTTATTAAAATTTTAATAGTTTCTTATAATTTTTATGGCCAAATTTATAAATTCATTTTTTTATTGGATGTTAGAAATATAACTAATAAGAAAATATGTTATATACGTACAATTCCTTTTAACAATTTTAACTAAGAAGCTCTTGTAAGTATGAAAAACTTAGTAATTTAAATAAGTTAATATATTGTTTCAAAGAAATTCATGAGGCCAAAACCTTTATGGTTTTGAGAGAAATGTTGCTTAAAAATGAACGAGGGTTGTTGCATCCTAAAATAATTGTGACAATAGAGAAATATGAAATTTAGAGTTTTAGTTTTATATGAATATCCAACACACAAACAGATGAAAGATAGGGGTGCAGTGTTCATATGAGCACAAGAGTTTTTACGTGAAAACCTTTGAAAATGATAAAAAATCACTGAACCTTAGCTCGATGTAACAAATATACATTATATAGTGCATTACATGGTGGGAGTTGGAAAAATCAATGTTAACATGCTCATTTGGTCAGCAGGACCATAATAGACTAGCTATGTAGATTTGATGGATCGTAGTCGGGCAACAATGGTCGGAAAAATTGTAGTTGGGCAACTAAAGTCGGAAAGCTTGTAGTCAGGTGATAGTGGTCGAAAGGACCGTAGTCGGATGACGATGGTCCAAAGGCCCATAGTCGACGGGTGACAAAGGTCGGAAAGACCATAGTTTGTGATGATGGTCAAAAAGCTTGAAGTCAGAGCATGACGAAGGTCAAAAAGATCATAGTTGGACGATGGTGGTCGGTAGAGTCATAGTCGGCAAACAACATAGGTCAGAAAGATAGTAGTCAGACGAGGGTAGTCGGAGGACCATTATCGGGCTACAGAGTTTGGAAAGACCATAATAGGTAGGCAATGGCCGGTGGTTAGGTGAAAGTCCAATGATAGTCGATAGTCGAGAAGAAGTCTGACGAAACTAGGTGGTTAGGTAGTGATCGAGGAGTTGCTTGGTGGCAAGATGGATCTTAGGTTTCTCTTCATTTCCTCTCTTCTTTCCTCCATGCTTAGTCCCCTCTTCAATGAAAAATGCGGGGTCAATTTATAGTTTTTTGGGAATGCATGAATAGAGAATATAGAGAAGATCAAGGGCATGTTGGGAATGTTTTGAATGGACGATCGAAATTGACTTCTTTGATAATTGACCATTTATTGAGTATTTAAGTGCCTTAATGATACCATAATTCGACAATCTTGGGCTCGTTGGATTTATCTCGTTGAGCCGCTTGATTTGTCTATAAGAATGTCACATTTGGATATCATTTAGTCATCCAATTTATGCTTTGAACCTTCTAAATGTATTTTGGGCCCTTGGTTTTGACCTATTTCGGCTTGGATTGTGTTGAATTTGGTGTTGTTGGGTTCGTCTTTTCAAGGAATTTATTTTAACTAAGTTTGCTGAAATCAAAGTTCAGATGGTCCCAGATTTAATCTTGAAAATTTGTAATTCAAATTTACCATGAGATTCATGTCCAATCATAAAAATTATTTGATGATACTTCAATTGCCCCAAACCCCCTATTTTCAGATGTCAAAGCCTACAAAGTTTAAAAATATATGTTATTGCTTTTCAAATTAATCCAATGCAAAATTATAATTTTTGGATAATTTTGAGATACAATCTCTCCTTGGACGTCAACATGAACCTTCTCTTAGGGCCGTAAACCAAGTAAAATACCTTTAAAATTCAAATAAATTATTTTAGAACTTCAAAAATTATAAAAAAAATATTCATAAAATAAAACATGTTATTTAAAAAATATCTATGAAATCGGTTTACAAAATGGACACATAGCGGTCCTGAAATTCTCAATTATACCAATTTCTTAAGGATTTTCACTAGTGCCCAAAAATTACAAAAAAATTTGTGTAAGTAAAATATTATAATCAAATTACTATATCTAAGATAATTTATGATTTGGAGTTATAATGACTCTAGAAAAAAAATTGGCAAAGTCAAAATATGGTTTACTACATCATGTGTACATTCCTTTATGATTTTATTACATTGATTTGATTTTGATAGTCTTTACTAATATTTTGATTTGATATTTTATATGATTTCTATACTTATTTGTATCATTAATACAATGATTGATTTATATATTTAATACTCATACTGGTTTATAACTTCATTAGCCTCTGCACTGCACTGTTTTATTATTTACAGATTCTGCTGTTACTACATTTGAGATTTACTATTTATACACTGATTCAATGATCATATGAATATAACTACTATAATTTGACTGTTGACATACATATTACTACTTTATCGTACTTAATTCAATTATAGGTTTTGGTGGCCTGTTAGGCTTTTAGCTCATTATATGTGATTAAATAATTTCATGTCAAGAAAGGGGAGTAGCCGAGTCGGAGTGTAAGGCAAATCAAGATTCTTTAGATCATGTTTATTTTTATTTTAGTTATTCCTTTATACTCATAATAGAATAGTTATGATATGATTGTATAGATTCTGAGTATTGTATATAATTTTGGAAATGAATATACATGTATACATTGATGTTTTGAATAATAGAATTTATTTTATTATTTATTATTAATAGATGATATTAGATAGCTCTAGTTATTATTTATTAAAAGATAAGAATAATTCTTCCAAATTAGATTTGAGGGCATCATAATTGGTATTAAAGTGTAGTTATTAGAAGAATTATTTGTTACTAGAGGGCTGTAGGATTTGATTGAGAGTTAGGTAGGATGGACAATTTAATGTGCATTAGTGTATATACTTAGTTTAATGACATGTGAATAATGAACTGCATGACTGTATGGATTTTTATGAGTTTGATTTGAGTTTCGATTGTACAGATTTGATTTATCTCAATTTTCTGCCCTAATCCTTAAGGGAAATATTAGGGATGATATTTTCTTAAGGTGGGTAGATTGTAGTAGCCCGTATTTTGATTGAAGTCTTTTAGTTAAATTTTTTTTTTAATATAATTTTTGGATATATGTGAAAATTCTTAAGGAATTGGAACCTATTAGTACAAGTGAGGATTTTGAGACCGTCATGTGTCTATTTGTAAATCAATTTTATCAATATTTTTTAAATATTATGACATATTTTATGTATATTTTTTGTAATTTTTTTAGTCTCAAAATAATTTATTTAAATTTTATATTAAATAAATTATTAAATTAAATATTATATTATATTAAAATATCTTAAAGCATTATAAAAAAACCATTTCAAATCGTATTACCCATTTCTTTTGGCCAAACATAAAGGTGATTTAAGGAATTTTGAGAAAAAAGTTAGGTGAGAGAAAAATAAAATTGAGATTTGAAAGCCGTGGATCAATTTTTGTCAGTCAAACTAGTTGGG